GGTTGCAGGGACAGAGGCTCGGAGAGGGGCCAGTGGGGTATGAGGCAGCACAGGGATGTGGGGACAGCTCAGCATGTGCCCCCCAAGCCTGATGGGAGCAGCAGGGAAGTGACACTGTCCCCTGGGAGGCCTTGGATCCCCACGGTCCCTCTGCTCCGGCACAATCCTCCTACCCCACCCCGTGGCTTGTCGCTCACCCATATCCTTTCTCCCTCAGTCACACACCCCGGGTTTTCAGTTAGACACATGGCAGCCTGGAGCAAAGGCGACATTTCCCAGACTCTCCTAGTCAGTGTGGCCACGCGAATAGCTCTCCCCAAGGAGATACGAGTGGAAAGGATGTGGCAGCTTCCAGGACACGGCAAAGCCAGCTGACACGGGTCTGTTATCTCCCTCCTGCTGGCTGGCCCATGACTGTGGTGGCTGGAACTCTAGCACCTACATGTTTAAAGTGACAGCGCAGCCAGATGGAAGGAGCGCGGGTCCCTGACCCCCTGGAGGGGCCACAGCAGCCCTAGACTGCCGGCCTCCCCCTGCGTGTCTGTGAGCCACGCCTGTCTTCAGTCGCGGTCCTTACGTCACTCTCCAGCAAACCCAATTCTACTTCAGAGCCACTGCCGGCCATTTCAGGCCGACACCGTGGGACCAGCACCAGGACGCTGGGGGAGGAGAGCTGTCCCTCTCCCTCCCTTTCCTCACTGCGTCACTCCTCCCCAAGCCTGTGCTGCGGTCCCGCGCTCCCCGCCCTGAGCAGGCACCTTACCTGTGTCGAGTAAAGATGATTCCAGCTCAAGCAGGGATTGATGCGACTGTAAATAGGATGGCAGCCCGGCCGGCCGTGGCTCAGTGGTTGATCGTAGACCTATGAACCAGGAGGTCACAGTTCAATTCCCGGTCAGGGCACAGGCCCAGGTTCCGGGCTTCATCCCCAGTTGGGGGTGTGCAGGAGGCAGCTGACCAATGATTCTCTCTCATCACTCATGCTTCTGTCTCTCTCTCCCTCTCCCTTCCTCTCTGAAATCAATTATATACATATAATGTTATTTTGTGTGTTTTTTAAATTAGAATGGCAGATTGCTCCGCATACCCATTAACACCAAGAATCAAAGCGTTCGCACAGACGTGACCCTATCATCTCCATAAGTCATACAAACACACATGCGTGCCCACACACACATTTTCTCTCTCGGCTGTCACTCCCGGGTGTCTGTGTGGCCAAACCCCAAACTCCGCCAGCAGGGCCGGTTGCCTTGGAGCCCGCAGCCTCCAATGCTTCGATCATGGCGCCGCGTGGCTGCAGCCTGGTCCAGGCCAGGACCCCTCCAGCCCACTCGTTCTCTCAGAAGCTCAGGTTTGACACTCAGGCCTGGCAAACATTCCCCCTGGAGACATCTTCCCAGATCCTTAGGTGTGGCACCAAATAACATATGGAGGCTCCAGGGACCTAGAGGCTGTAGACAGCACGAGAGCCACTAGCCCATTATACTGATGAGGAAACTGAGGCGCAGAGGCACAGTCACAAAAATGCTCAGAGACAGGACTGAGCTTTGACCTCTCTCTCCCCTCCTAGCGCTTTCCCCACCGACATGTGGGCTGCAGGGGTTCTTTTTATTTTTTCTATAACCGCTTATTGGGCATTTAGTGCGCGCTAGGCACTGTGCTGGATATTCTACGTAAATTGTCTCCTTTGTTCCCCACGACGTCCCTGTGAAGTGGGCTGGACTTTTCTCACTTTAAAGATGACGGAAGTGGGGTCAAGGGAAACTAACGCACCTGCCCAAGATCCCCAGCTTCTCGGCAGCAGGTCAGCATTCACAGCCTGAGGTCTCGGCCCAAAGCCTGTGGCCCCGCTCTGCTTGAGGCTCACGGACAGGGGTGGAGGGCTCGCCTGGAATTCCTGGAAGGACTTCAGGGATCCCATGAAACCGTTAAGGAGCACGTGGGTGTCCATGTGTGCACATGCACACATGTGTGCAAGCATGCATTTTCTAAGGGAAAGGGTATTGCCCTTAGCAGCACTTCAAAGGAACTCGACTTAGAAAAGGCCCAGGACCACTGACCCCACGTAAAACCCTTGGCCGGTGGGTCAGCGTTGCTGTCTTGGGCAGGTCACGACAGGAGGGTAAGTTTTACTTGGAGATATGTTTCAGGGTGGGGCGTAGGTTGGTTGATTTTTTTAAAAAACATGTTTATATTTATTTCAGAGAGGAAGGGAGAGCGAGAGAGAGAGAGAAACATGAATGATGAGAGAGAATCATTGATTGGCTGCCTCCTGCACTCCCCAAACTGGGGATGGAGCCTACAACCTGGGCTTGTGTCCTGACCAGGAATTACACCCATGACCTCCTGGTTCATAGGTCGGTGCTTAACCACTGCGCCACACCGGCAGTGCTGGTTAGTTGATTTTAACGTTTCCCTTATCTACAGGCCTGAAGCCTGGCCTGCCCACCAGCAGCTCGGCCATATTCTCTTGTCATGCGATAGTTGTTCTGGGGCCTTCAGCCCCCAGAGCAGCTCACAGGGCGCTACCCACCCCAGCAAGCTGGACCATATGGCCAGCAGCCAGGGCCACCGAGGCCAAAGCCCCATCTCCACCCACACCCAACGGTCAGCCTGCTGTCCAAAGGGGCCACCTGAGCCCTGGAACCCCCTCCCCCAGCCTAAAGGCCCACCCAGTGGCAATAAGGACCCTTCCTCTCGGGGCCCTTGCTGGGCCTCAGCCAGGAGGGAAGGAAACAGAGGCAGCTGAGACTGGGCGTGCCTATTAGCAAGCAGCCGCCAGGGCGACAGGTCTGCTGCCGGGAATGGGGCACCAGCTCCTGACGCGGATGCTCCCTCCACCCGGAGTCCAAGACCACGCACTGGTACGCACACAGTGCCTGCAGGGGGTGGGCGCTGGGCCTCAGTTTCCTCCTTCGTATGACAGGAGAATGGAGATGTTGTCCAGGAAAGAAAGGGCCGTTCTGCCATCAAGCCAAAGAGCGCACTGTGACAGGAGGGCCAGCCCCTGCCCGCCCCAGCCCAGGACCCTTGAGGAACAGCAGGGAGTGGGAGAGACCTGAAGGGGCAAAGGGCAGAGGGCGGGCCCCCATGCTGAGTGTCCTATCCATGTGAATACCACCCCAACCTCCCAGCCCCGTAGGCCCCAGAAGTGCCCTTCCCCCAACACCGATCAGGTGGCCACTATCAGCCCCCACCTGCGGGACACCACCCGGCGACGTCCTGTCCTGCACCGCTCACCTGGCACCTCTCCCCGCCTCCCATCCAGCTCTGCCTCCACACAGGCCAGGGACCAACCTGACCCCACACTGCCCTGCCCACATCCTTCACTGGCCCGGCTCCCAGCATCCTCTCCCTCAGCTGTGCGTCTTGTGTGGGGCAGCAACTTGGGCTACCCCATCTGCATCCCTAGAGCCACCTGATCCCTCTCCCGGAGCGCCGACCCCACTGCCTCAAGGACTGTGTCCTCCAAAGGCCTTCCCCCTGACCTCCCAGTGAGTGCCGCCCACCTGGCCAGCCCTGGGGGCGGGGAGGAGGCTCTGAGCTGGTGCTGGCTGGACCGGGCAGGGCAGCACAAGGGGAGTAAAGCTGGACACACAGGCACACCTCACTTTATTGCCCTTCACAGAGGGCGCATTTTTCACAAATTGAAGATAAGACCCTCCACCAGCAAAAAGATTAGGCCTCGCTTTATTAGGGCGGTTGAGAACCAACCGGTGTGTCCCGTACATCACCCTCCAGAGGCCCTCCGTCCCCTGAGGGACAAGGAAGAGGTGCCTGAATCCAGCCCCCAGGCATCTAGGACTAGAGCAGCCGTGGGCAAACTCCAGCCGTTTGAAATGAATAAAGCTATTGAAAAAAAAGACCGTACCCTTTTATGTAATGATGTTTACTTTGAATTTAGATTAGTTCGCACAAACACTCCATCCATGCTTTTGTTCCGGCCCTCCAGTGCAGTTTAAGAACACATTGTGGCCCTCAAGTCAAAAAGTTTGCCCACCCCTGGGCTAGATCACCATCTCAGACCAACCCAGAGGCAAGCATGCAGGACCTGTTCAACCTGAACTTTTATTTCCTCGGAACTCTGGGTATTGCCTAGTTGTGTTTCTGGTTTGCAAACCCTAAGACCTTTGAATAAATCTTCATCATTTATTTCTAGTTAAAACCTCCTGATTTCATCTACGCTCCGTCAACATATCCCACAGAACTATGTTGAGGATTCTTACTACACCTGAACTGCCCCCGACCCTACACCCCGCCCGGCACCCCGCCCCAGGCTATGAGCTCCCCACACAGCAGGGGCCTAATAATCCTGCTTGCTGCTAAGCACAGGGCTTCCCGGGGACAAAAGGCAAAGGCCCAGGAGCAGGGCCTGCAGAAGGCAACAGCCCAGCCCCATATCCCATCCCGCTGGCCTCCCTGATCCCCAGCCGCTCACAGTACACCCACCACTGGTCAGGCCTCACCACCATCTTCTCCCCTTCCCGGCTCACCTAGTCTCCTCTTCCAGGGAGCCCCCCTGGACTGAACCAGCACTGCCTCTACTGATGAAGCCTTCTGCTAGTCAGATGGTCCCAAGGTGCCTTCCTGGGAAGGGTTCAACAGTCTGAAAAAACAGTGGGGCTGGGGCATGATCCAGGTTGGGGGGTGCCTAGAGCCAAAGTTCCTAGCCTAGAGTTTATGGTCTAAATGAGATCAACCAGCACCCAGAGATCAAATGCAGAAGTCTGGGTATAAGCCAAGTGCTCGTCTGCCTAGGTCTTTCCAGATATGCCCCCTCTGCAGTCCGCTCCTTCCCTTGCTCTTCAGAGCACTGGCCCTTCCTCTGCTCGAAGACTGTTGCTTCATAACTCCTCCTTCAAGAGACCTTCCCTCACTACCTCCGAAAGTAAGTCAAGGTCCCCTCTATCAGTCCCCCTTCAGTCCCTGCCCACCACCCTCACAGCCATGACTGTCATGGGGCCTGGGCCACAGCAAATCAGCAACTCAAAATCCAGGAGGCAGACGTGAACCAGAAGTGTTTATTGCAGAAATCTGGCCAAGCCTTCAACGTGGTGGCCCAGCTGCAGCTGGACCAGGCCTCTGCCCCTGGCTGGGCAGGTGTGAGAGGGAGTAGGTCTGGGCCCAGGGCCTCAGAGCTGCGAGAGGATGTTGGGGGCCAGGCTGCAGGTGAGGCCTGTGCCATCTGGCTCCACATTGAGGGACTTCACTACACCATCCTCTATCACCATGGAGAACCTGCCAGAAAGAGGGCAGGGCCCGTTACCACGGCCGGGCCTGGAGGCTGGGACTAGGGAGGGAGGGTGGCAGGGGAAGCCCACAGGGGAACCTCCCACTTTTACCTCTTGAGCCGTCGATTCCCAAAGAGGGACACCAACGAATCATCCAGTAACAAATCTGTCTCCTAAGAAGAGAGACAGAAACAAGGATCAGGAACCCCAAGAAGAGCCAAGCTCCCCAGCTGCGCCCCACCTTGGTCATGACCCTCCAAATCCCTGCTCCCAAGGCCTGGCAGAGGGACCCCAGCCCAGCTGCAGGGGTGGGGTGGGGTCGCACTCACCTTCCCAAAGGCCCCCGTGGGGTCCGCCAGAAGCCGAATCTAAAGAGAAAGTAACGGTCACAGGCAAACCTCCTGCCCGGCCCCCAGCCGCCTGCAGGACCCACACCTCACCTTGCCTTCCGTGTTGTGGGCTCGTCCCCACTCTTCAGTCACGAAGACATCGTTCACACTCAGACATGCCACCACCTGGGCGCCCTTGGCCTTCAGAGCCCCAGCCTGCTCCACAAAGCCCGGCAGGTGGGTCTGGGGAGGGAAACACAGGCTTAGCGAAGGGACGGCTGCCTCCACTCCTTGGTCTATCCTTCATCTCCAGCTTCCTCACCGTCCTGCCCCAACACCTTCCATCAGTGAGCACTGGGTGAGCCGTGGCTCCTTTCAGCCTGGGCCACTGGGGAGCTTGGATCCAGACTTAAGATTTCTGTGGTCAAGACCATGAACTCCTGCAGGCGTAAGGATGTCTTCTTTACCCAAGTACCTTCCATGGTGCCCGACATCCAGCAGGATCAACAAGAGGGGCTGCGTTTCACTGTCATGCCCTTTCTCCTGCATTCCTGGGACCACTACCTCTCACAGCCTCTGTTTGTTTTCTGAACGCTCTGATATCACCTGCACGCTACTGCTGCAAGCTGCCTCGGGACAACACGGAGGGCTATGAACGCTGCAAACGTGTGCACACATTCCCAACTGCTGAGCCCCAGAAGGGCAGGGCCTCACCTTGGAACAACCAGGGGTAAAGGCTCCAGGGACTCCAAACAGCACCCCCTTCTTGCCCTTGAACAGCTCCGCCAGGTTCACCTTGTTCCCGGGCTGCCCCTCAAATACCTCCACCGATGGGATGGCATCTCCCACCTAGAGGGCAGGACACAAGTTAAGGGTCAGGGCGGGGGGACTTGCAGGGAGGCCGAGGGAAGGGCAGCAAACCAAGAGCCGGGCACGGAGGGCCTGGAAGCCAGGACTGGTGAAGCCAGGGGTGACTCAGGGCAGGATGTCCAAGCCTGTCAGCGCTTCCAGGGGCCCCTCCCTCCTAGTTACCCCACATCCTCCAGGTTTCAGGTTGGCCCTATTCCTCTTTGAGGGCCTGTTGGTAACAACAGAAAGAGGGAGAGAAGGCCTCCGAGGTGTTGCAAGGAGTTGCGCAAACAAACTGCTGCCTGGGTTACAGGAAAGAAAGAGGTGGGATAACTGGACAGGAGGAGGAGGGTCGGGGGGCTGTATGGGGGAGAGGGGGGCTGAAAAATGGAGGGAGAGGATCCTGGCCCATAGGGGAACTAAGATGAAAACGGCAGAAGGCAGGAAAGGTTTGGTTGTTCTTTTTTTTGGGGGGGGGGGGGGGGAGGGAGGGAAAGTCGGGGTTGGGATAGGATGAAGCAGCGGGAGGAAGAGGTCTCAGAAGGGGGGTGGTGGTGGCAGGGGTTAGTTCCAAGGAGCTGGGGCTGGTTCAGGATGAGAGTGACACCTCGGCTAAAGCTGGAATTAGCTGCGGGTGGAGTGGGACGGGAGGCATGGCAGGGCTCTAAGAGACAACACGTTTCAGAAGATAGGGTGAGAGAGGCCCAATAATCACGATAAAGCGTGCAGGCGGGTACAGTGGGGGTTGCGTATGGGGTGGAAAGGGGTCCCTAGCGCAGAGGGGTCCCAGGAGGTGGGGGAGGCCGCGGTACTCCATCGCCTGATAAGGGTTGAGCCCCCGTCGCAGGGTGTCCGGTGAATGCGGGAGAGGAGGCTCGGGAGCCTCGGGGGCAGTCTCGGGAGAT